CTTTCAACTGTTTCTATTCTATTCTATTCTATTCTATTCTATTCTATTCTATTCTATTCTATTCTATTCTATTCTATTCCTGTTCTGTTCTTGTTCTATTCCTGTTCTGTTCTGTTGCATCTTTTCTGCATTAAAAAAAAACCACTTTTCCCTGGTAAGAGAAAAGAACTGCTACTGTCAGCTACACATAGATGTTCCTTCCATGGTCCAAACTAAACACTGGCTTTAAATTCAACCACCTTCCACTCTATTTTCGAACAACCTGGAAACAAATTTGGTTCAGAATTGTTCCAAAGCGGTATTCCAACCTTCCAGTTCCAATCATCCCTTGTTGAGTGTCTTCTAACAGTTTTGGTCTACAGCATGCTCCCAACCAGTATGGTTATTGGCTATTCTCATGTGCTTCTTATAAGAGAGGCAAAGGTATATGGCTCATTAGTTTTCTTTTTCTTACATAACTCTGCCTCTAAGCCAGGGGTGTCCAACCTTTCACCTTCCCTGGGCCACATTAGAAGATGAAAATTTGGTTTGGGCCGCACATAAAATAAAATAACAGTAACGATACCTGATCATCCAAAAAAACCATAGAAAACATAGTTAACATATTAAATTTATTTGGAAATGAAGTTAGTGAGATGTTTTTATTATTAATTATTTATTAAAAATTATTTATTTTTTATCACAGTTTTTTTATCACGTTTTTTTTATTATGGTTTATTTTCCGGCCAAATTTTGTGGGTGGGGGGGGAGAAAGCTCGCCCGCCTCGCGCCTACCTCTCCTCCTGCAAATGGCCCGGCTGGATGAGGCAGGACTGGAAGGCAGATGCAGCAGCAGTGGCGGGGGCAGAAGCAGCGGCGGGGGCAGTGGCAGTGGGGGCAGAAGCAGCAGCGGTGGCGGGGGCAGAAGCGGCGGGGGCAGAAGCGGCAGCGATGGCGGTGGTGGCAACAGCAGGAGGTGGCGCTCTGACGGCACCCGCTTTTTCTGTTGCTGCTTGGCCTGGCGCTCGCCTCGCCCTGCCTCGCGCCTGCTTCTCCTCCTCCTCCTCGCTGGCTCTGGCATGAAGGTTGGGGTGGGCACTGGGCCGCATTACAAGTTGACTTGGGCCGCATGCGGCCCGTGGGCCGCAGGTTGGACAAGCCTGCTCTAAGCCATAGTTTACACCTGATTCAAGCTTTTGCTTTCCCAGGTTAGGAAGCCTCCAATCTCACTCATGGTGCCAAGGTTGAAGTCATCTGCTCTACTGTCATCATCAATGGTGAAACGAATTAGATTCAGGACCTCTGAAAGGGATGCATTCTATGGTTCTGTGGAGGTCTGGGAAAGGAAGAAACTCAGAAGGCACAAAGAGGTTGTGAAAGAGAAAGTATGTGCAGAGGGAGGGGGGAGGAGAGAAGCTTTGAGAAGGAAGACTTTCTTGACAGGAAGAGAAGAGGAATTAAACCAGAGATGTCGGTGAAGGCCTGAAGTTAAACCTCTCCAGTCAGGAAGAAGTCGACAAGGACAGAGAAAGGTACCCAAGCTTAGGGAGTGTTCTGGGTGGGCAATCCAAAAGAGGAAGGTAAGTGAACTCCATGCATTGTGCCTCTCATCCCAGACACACACTGGTATTTACTGCAGCCAAAGGTCCATTGTGTCCATGGTGTTGAAGAGTGTCAAAATGGGTGACTTTAGGACTGCCTTAGGTGGTCTAGCAGTTACATTCAGTGCCATAAATGTAATCGCTCTGGTCACTCTTCAGTTTCCTAAAAGTGGGAGGAAATCAGCTGGGGGAATCTCCTGCCCTTTTACTCCTGCCCTCTTGTTTGCCCCACCCCACTTACATTTCACTGGCCCATTGGGCCAGTAGGAAGTAGAGGAGGACAAGTGGGTGGTGTATAGCATGCAGGGAGTCTAAAAGTAGCTCATGTTTTGACCCAAGAAGTCTAGAAAGGAGGTACTCTGTCAACCTTGGAAGCCATATTAGCCACAGAAGCTTCCATGCTGCCTGGGAAATTGGGAGAGGGGAATCATAGAGTGGTTGTAGTTAGACATCATAGTATTCTTATTCTCAGTCAAGGTCATGTCATCCTGCACCAGGACAAGGGGTGGTTGGAGCAGGGGTGGATTCTACCGGTTCGGCCCAGTTCCATAGAAACAGTAGCTCCGAAGAGCAGCTGACACCGAACCAGTTCTTTCTGAAGATCTTTTTTTCTTCAGTTGGACCCACCCACCCACTCTAGGTTGTCCTTTATTCTTAACTTAGTTGCTTTGCGCAGCACAGCTGAGTGCCTCTCATCAGTAGGAGATGGTGATTGCTTTCAGGAGAAATTGTTTTGCATGCGCAAAGTGCACATTCACCGAACAGGTTGTTATGCTGATAGGATCCACCTCTGGGTTGGTGGATTGTCTTCAGTTGTGACAGGTGGTGATTGGGCCATGTGATGGACTGAGAGGTGCAGGGGGATGGATCTTTGATTTTCAATTACCAAGGGAAAACCTGGAAGCCTCAGATTCGGGTTTTCCCAGATGTGCCAGTATTACAACTCTAATAAAATGGAACCATGAGAAAATGCTTGTCTCAGAGTTTTCTGAGTTAGAGTTTGTTTCTGGAACTCTGACATCAGGGGTGGGATTCAAATTTTTTAACAACCAGTTCTGTGGGCGTGGCTTAGTTGGTGGGTGTGGCCAACTCAATATCACTCACATCAAGGCATGCATCTCCTCACCTGGCCTCTCATGACTGTGGGGATGCTGTAACAAGTCGTAAGTGTGAAAAATGGTCATAAGTCACTTTTTTCAGTGCCATTGTAACCTTGAATGGTCACTCCACACAAGCAAAGTACCAGCAAAGGAAGGGAAAAAAACTCCAGAGAAGTTCCTGAGACAGGAAGTCTAGTCCTGCTGAGAACGTAATAAGGGTTAACGGAGAGGCAGTTTTTGTATGCAACACCAGAATGTTTCCTTCCTGCCTTCCTTACAGGATTAGACCAGTAATTTCTTCTAACAACCGGTTCTCAGAACTGCTTAGAATGTTAACAACCGGTTCTAGTGAATAGGTTCAAACCTGTAGAATCCCACCCCTGTCTGACATCCTGCTTGGGTGGGAAAGCTATTTGTCTTGATCACCAAAGCTGTCAGCAAGAGGGACTGAGGCAGCAAAAGGTAACATGCTGATGTCTCTAATCCTAAAAGATGGCTTTTCCTGCAAATCCTGCTTTAATTCTATCAATTTCGTCCTGGTGAAGTGGTTTTCTGAAAAATTCTCAAGGTCTTTAATAAGACAGACATCGTAATTCAGAAGATGTTCATCTCTCACTTTGGTGACTATATTAATCCTTGTAACATTTGTAGTAGAGACAAAGGAACTTAGCTTCTTTACAGAGTTGGGCATATTTAACATAAGATCCTACAGTCTCCACAGAGGTGGCATTCAGCAGGTTCTGACCAGTTCTGAAGAACCAGTAGCAGAAATTTTGAGTAGTTCGGAATACTACCTCTGCCTGGTCCGCCCACATCTATTCTCTGCCTCCCAAGTCCCAGCTGATTAGCTGGGTCTTCTTTTGTTGCCCTGCACAGGAGAACAGAGCTGGAAATCAGGTTAGTGGGGTGGAGAGAGAATAGGGATTTTACAGTATCTTTCCCCTGCCACGCCCACCAAGCCATGCTATGCCCACAGAACTGATAGTAAAAATTTTTGAATCCCACCACTGAGTCTCCAGAATCATGTTTCTCATATTTCTGGCTAACCAAAGAACTCTGGAAGGCACAAATCACTGAACAAACAACTCCTTTCTCATTATTCTTCACCTGACCACAGCTTATTTAACTACCATTTATTGCAAAGTTCAGCAACTTCTTCAGGTAGAGACAACAATTATGCATTTTTTGTGTCTTTGTGATGTGTGTGTGTGTGTGTGTTGTATTTAAGGCTGAATTATCATGAGGCAATCCTAAAAATCTAAAGAGAACTAGGGAAAGTGAAATCTGTGGTGTTTTTTCAAATTCCATTCCTGTTTGGGTGCATATTTCAGTTAACTGACCATTACCCTGACTGAGGTTCTTCCTCCTCTTCTTCAGTACACTTGCCATTTCTAGTTCCCCACAAGACAATACAAGTTGCATGCTCCAAACTTGTGTCCTTAGCATTATAACAGGCCGGCTCCAATCTAGATTGACTGAAACTACAACTCCCAGAATCCCCCAGCCATCAGAGTGACTAGGAATTCTGAGAGTTCCAATCCCAGCACTTTTGATTATTATTACCTTTATTGTCAGAGTACAACATGTGTACAATGAGATTGTCTGAGCCTCCCTTCATGTACCCCCCCCTCCACACACACACACACAACTCACAGTAAGGACGGAAGCCCCTAACCCAGACCCAATCTTATTACCCTATGTGCTCTTGTTGCACAATGTGCTAGCCTTGCAAGACTGTCATACTATGTTGACATGAAGTTATTTTCCATTCAGAAGTCTGACAGCCCACGGGTAGAAACTGTTCTTCAGTCTGTTGCACCAACAGGCTGGCTATGCTTCTATATCTCCTACCCGCTAGTAGGAGAGTAAAGAAGTGCTGACCGGGATGTGAGTTGTCCCTGAGAATTTTCCTCACTCTTCTAAGGCAGCGAGCCCTAGCGTTGTCAACTAGTGATATCAGGGGACATCCCACAATGTTTTGGGCTGTGCTCACCACATTAGGCCGGGAACTGGCCACAACCATCATGTCCTCCTTGCTCTCCTGTGTTTTGCATCTAGATCAGAGCAGCAGTGGGATCCTACCTGTTCCACTACTGGTTTGGTGATTGCACACATGCATGCGTCCCTAATGAGCACATGCAGCTTTCCTCACACCAGCTGAGACCTGCAGTGCCAATCAGCTGAGAGGATAAAGAAGAGAAAAGTGCAGGGGTGGGTGTGAGGGTCAATCCTGCACTTTTCTTTCTCCTCTCAGCTGATCATGGGAAGCCTTTTTTTTAAACTACCGGTATGGTCAAACTAGTCTGAACCGGTAGCATACCACTACTGGATCAAAGATGTTCCACTGGGAACTTCTGGGCTTGGTGTAGGCTCCAATAGCCTCAGGTGATCCCAGTTCCCTTTTAAGATGAATTTGCAGAACGAGGAGAACATAAGAGGAGAAATCACAGCTGAAATTTCCTTTACTTTGATTTTTTTTTGAATGCAAAGATGTATTCAATTAAACCTGAAATCATATTTGCCCTGACCCTGACTATATTCTTCTCCTGGTCCAGTTGAAGGGTAGTCTTTAGCATAGCGCTTCAAAGCTAACCATGGTCCTATTTAACTCCAAAGAAGCTACATTTTTATCTTCCTGTCTCTTAAAAACAGCCATGAGTATGCAGGACTACTGAGGTATAACCATTGCTGGCTGATGAAGATTTGGAAAGAATGGCTGTTCCCAATGAGTTCTATGAGCAGATCAGTGAGGAGCACCTGAAGAACCTCTCCTTCATTGGTCAAGGATCTTTTGGGAACATTTTCCGAGCTCGCCACCAGAAGTGGGGAACCGATGTTGCAATCAAGTTTCTCAGCCGGTAATAATTTATAGTGTTTACAGATTAACAGAGTTGAAAGGGACCTTGTAGGGTCATCTAGTCCAACCCGCTGCCCAAGCAGGAGACCCTACACAATTTCTGGCAGTTGGCAGTCCAGTCTCTTCTTGAAAGCCTCCAGTGATGAAGCTCCCACAACTTCTGAAGGCAGGTTGTTCCATGGGTTGAGTGCAGAGAGTGAAAGTCAGATATTTTCTTTCTCCTGCCTAACAAAAATATATAATCTGTAGCTCCCACAATCATGTGTGGACTTTAGAACCTTGGATAGGGCTCTAGAGATCTTCAAACATTGGTCACACATTATAATTTTGAATGGGACAGAGGAGAAAATGATTAAATATAGGAGAACAATTTGATAATAGTAGAGTAGCCCACGACTTGGATGCCTTCACCAAGAAGCATCCAAGAGGACAGTTGTCCCAGTAAGAGATCCTTTCAGGGATCAGCAACCAGAATTCCAAGTTCCCCATGCCAATTTAGCATGTTGATAATAACTTCTTTATGAACCCCATCTCATGTAAAGGAATATAGATAGAAGGAATGAGTAAGCCATTAAGGAGTCAAGGAAGGATCAAACTTATAGGAAGCTTTACAGAAACGATGTAAGGCCTGGGGATGAAGAGAATGTGAGAAAAAAGCTCAAAATAACACCAACTTCTGTTATACTACTGAGCTACAACAAACGTTGGTTGCCATACTTCAAAAAAGATGTTGAGACTTTGGAAAAAGTTCAGAGAAGAGCAACTAAGTTGATCAAAGGCCTGGAGACTAGAACATATGAAGAACAGCTGCAGGTTTGGCTATTCTAAAGAAAAGAAGAATGAGTGGTGACACGATAGAAGCAATCCAGTATTTGAAGGGCTGCCATAAAAAAGAGGGGGAAGGTCAAATTATTCTCCAAAGCACCAGAGGGCAGGACAAGAAACAATGATTGGAAATTAATCAAAGAGAGAAGCAATTAAGGAGAAACTTCCTAACAGGGAGGACAATTAATTAGAGGAACAAATTGCCTTCAGAAATTGTGGACACTCCATCACTGGATGTTTTTAAGAAAAGTCTAGACAGGTACTTCTCTGAAATGATATCGTTCTCCTGCTTGAGCAGGGGGGTGGACTAGAAGGCCTCTAAGTCTATTCCAGGTCATTCTATTCTATATTCTAAATAGCATTACTAGGGTCCCTACTGCACCTGCATCTCAACCTGGCCTACAATGGAGGGCTGATTTCAATCTTGAAATCTTTTCTGCAAGTCCTCAATTAATAACTAGCTCCTCCCTTCCCCCAGAACAACTCAGCTATTCCTTAGCATCACCCTGTTTTGATTGCACCTACAATAATCCTCCAACAGAATTGAAATTCCTATACCTTCTGCAGGGATTCTTCCTTCACTCAAGAAGAACTCATGAATGAAGCCCGAGCCATGGACAAAGCCCGCTTCAGCTACGTCCTACGACTCTACGGCCTCTTTGTAGGCAAAATGCCGATAGATGCTGCATCGGCATCATCCATAGTGCCCAGCTTGGGCTTGGTGATGGAATACATGGAGAACGGCAACTTGTCCAACTTAATGTGTCAGGTCCCCTCTATGCCTTGGGCCCTACGTTTCCGCATCCTCTACGAGGTAGCCCTGGGTATGAATTTCTTGCACAACCTCAACCCACCATTGTTACATCTGGATCTCAAGCCTAGCAACATCTTACTTGATGGGGAGCTGCATGTCCGGGTAAGTTTTCCCACTTCTATTTGTTGTTCTGCTGGCTCCCCCAGAATTTCACATTGCCAGAATTTGAGACCTATTTGGAATTATTCTGGTCCATCCCATTGCCCATTTTAAGAATTTACTATAGATTGTCCTCGACTTATAAACAGTTCCTTTAGTGACCGTTCAAAGTTACAACAACACTGAGAAAAGTGACTTATGGCTGTTCTTCATACTTAACAGCGATATGATCATTGATCAAAATTCGGATTCTTGGCAATTGACTCATACTTATGACCGTTGCTGTGTCCCAAGGTCACATTTTGCGACCTTTCGACAAGCAAAACCCATAGGGAAGTCAGATTCAATAAAGGTGTTATTAACTGCGGTGATTCACTTAACAACTGTGGCAAGAAAGGTTGTAAAATGCAGGGGGGGGACTCATTTAACCAATGTCTCGCTTAACATAAATTTTGGGCTCAATCGTGGTCATCAATCAAAGACTACAACATTCTTGAGACATGGCCATCTGGCAGAGTTGACTGCAGGATGATATGCTTTCATTGAAATGCTGAAAGCAGTGTCCCACCATTGGGACACAATTGTTACTTCTTTTGTACATGCACCTGACATCCCAATGCATGAAAAGACATTCAGAGTTTGTCTTAAATGTGCTTTTTCAGGAGGCAACTGGACTTTCTTGTTTTTTCTTTGAAGACATTTTGCTTCTCATTCAAGAAGCTTATTCAGTTCTAGCACGATACTTCTTCCTAAAGAAGTATAAATCCTTCCATTCCCCACTATCTTGTCAGAGCTGAAGAAGCTTCTTGGATGAGAACCAAAATGTCTTCAAGAAAAAACAAGGAAGTCCAGTTGCCTCCTGAAAAAGCATCTTTGGAACTACCATGACCTGAGATGACTGAGAATCTCTAGAGAATTCAGAGTTTGTGTAATGATGACACACCATCATGCTTTAGTCATTTTTACTCTCCTTCTCCTTATACTTTGGTTCAAGTTTACCCTCAGCTAGGAATGCTTGTAGTGGAATGTAGTCTGGATTCCCAGAAGGGAGGAGCTGCATTCCAGAGGACCAAAAGGCAGAAAAATTTAGATAGTTTGGCTGGGAAAAAGTGGGCCAAGATAGGGCCTCTTTAGAGCAGCGGTCATCAACCGGTGCGCTGCTGCCCACTGGTGGGCCACAACAAAATTTTGGTTGGCCACAGAGAAATCTAACCCCCAGAGCATCCCCCCCAAAGTAATTAATCCAGGTTGCGCAGAAACCCAAGGCTGCACAGCCCACATGGCCCACAGGAACCTGCCCCGCCCACTCACTCCTTATCAGGCAAACTTGCCTGCTAAATTACTATTTTTCCTTTTTCTTACCATCAGCTATTCTGCTGTGCTGGGAGATTTAGATTAGCTAGGAAGCAGTAAATGGTTGGATTTCTGAGGACTGAAGGTTCTATTATTCAGTGCAGACTCACAGCAAATTTTATGTGACATACTGAGCTAGCCTATGGCAGATAGATTGATCACTGAATAATTCTGTGAGCAACTCAAGCTGCCTGCCTGCTTTGCTTGATTTTGGGTAAAAGTTGCTCTTTTTTAATAAAAAAAATCAATATTTACATACATGGTGTGTTGTGAGTTAATTTTATGAGTTTGCTTGCAAGCAAATTTTATGTGACAGACTGAGCTAGCCAATGGCAGATAGATTGATCACTGAATGATTCTGTGAGCAACTCAAGCTGCCTGTCTGCTTTGCCTGATTTTGAGTAAAAGTTGCTCTTTTTTATAAAAAATTCAATATTTATATAAATATTTATAATATTTACATAGAAGCCATGCCCAGCCAGTCACGTGACCACCAAGCCACACCCACAAATTAGGCCATGCCCACAAAACCGGTTAGTGGTCCTTGGGATTTAAAATTATGAGTTTGGTGGTCCCTGAGGTCCAAAAGGTTAGCGACCCCTGCTTTAGAGAGTATCTTTAATATACAGCTAGTTCTCAACTTACAACAGTTTATTTAGTGACTGTTTGGAGTTACAGAAGCACTGAAAAAGTGACTTTTTTCCATACTTATGACTGTTGCAGCATCTGTTTGGTCACATGATTTACATTCAGATGTGTGACAACAGACTCACATTTATGACAGTTGCAGTGTCCCGGGGTCACATTTTTGCAACATTCTGACAACCAAAGCCCATGGGGAATCTAGATTCGCTTAACAACCATGTTTTTAATTTAAGAACTGCAGTGACTCACTTAACAAATATGGTGAGAAAAGTCATAAAATGTGGCAAAAGTGACTTGACAAATTTCTCAGCAGCATACATTTGGGGCTCAGTTATGGTTGTAAATTGAGGAGTATCTGTGGTTGCTTTAGTTCCTCACCTGTCTGTACGTGAGGAACAATAAGGGGAACTGCTTAAACATAACATTTTTCTTGGTGCTAATAGGGGTGTTGTTTGCTTACAGAAGAAAACGTTCTATTTTTGTTTCCTTGGATCCTGGAAGAAATGGCAGAATATAAATTCAGTAAATATGTACCAGTGCCTTCATTTAGTGACTGTCTAGTATTACGTTGACTTAAAATGTACATCTGTAGCTTTGAAATCAGCAGAAGGCTGGAGAAAAATAGAAGACCATACTAACTTGTGTGATTATGATTTAACTTTGTAACCTGTATGCATGGCATTTGCTAATTGCTTCTTATGTATCATCCCCACTTCTGGGTCAGGTGTCGGACTTTGGCTTGTCCAAGTTCAAGCGAGGAACTACCCAGCAATGTAACCTCAATTCTGGGGAAAGGAGTAGCTGTGGTGGGACCCTGGAGTTCATGCCTCCTGAATCCTTTGTCGATTTCAAGTACAAGCCAGCCACCAGCACAGATGTCTACAGGTGAGCTAGGTTGCATCTATTGTTCAATAAGGGATGCTAAATCTATGTGCACACCTTAGAGCTAAGTTTGGTTTGGAATTGATTCCCATTTGAAAGCAGATCTTGCTGGGAATCTGAGATCCATTCTGGGTCTCCATTTTATTTGCCTAAAACTGGCTTTCTGGAATATGAAGGTCTTTCATTTTATGATCAGACCATTTATTCTATTTCTTTCTATCCCTTTGGCTGAATCTGAAGTTCAACTAATAGAGAAAACACCTAACTGAATGGGCTACATGGGGTCAAATGTCATTAATTCTTGGATGGGAGACCACCAGGAAATCTGATCTACTTACTTTTACTTTTCAGTTATGGAATCCTCATATGGTCAGTATTAAGCAACCAAGAACCTTACCACAGTAAGTCATGCTTCACTTTGCTTTCTGCTTATTCAAGATTTCACATGTATCATCTTTCATAGGTAGACTAGATAGGAAAGAGATCAGATGGCTGTTCTTGTTTAAGGCTTCAGTAACCAAATCTTGCAAATCTGATAGTACAGATCTCCCACTATCTCTTTTATAGCCTGAGAAGTTAGGGAGGATCATTTCTGAGTTACTTTCTCTGCCCATTATGCATTTGAGGGCACCACCTCCCCTTATCTGACTGTTCCCTTCATAGCATTCCCTGTCTCCCAAAGTCATTCTCACATGCCATTAAAGCATGAAGTAACATTCATGTTACTCAATTTGTCCAACAATGACAAGGACATAATCAGACACTGTGACTGGATCAAACAGCATTACTTAAGATTGAGATCCACAAAAATCTCAGCTATGGCAACAAAGCCCTTTTAAAAATTACCAACATTTACAATAACAATTACCAGCAATAACAATTACCAACATTCAATGTGTTTGAATACTTAATGCAACATAAGGGGAAAGCTATTGGATGTGGGACGCAACCATGTTTTCTTTAATTAAGTTCAAATTTAAAAAAGGGTTTTCAATAGAGTAGAGTAGAACAGAAAAGAATTCTTTATTGGCCAGGTGTGATTGGACACACAAGGAATCTGTGCATAAGCTCTCAGTATACATACAAATAACAAGGGTATGTAGGTCATAGATCTATTATAGATAAGCCATAGATCATAGATCATAGTTACAATCATTAATCATCAGATACAAACCACAAGTGATAAATCATAAGATACCAGTAGGAGAATGTGGTAGGAACAATGAGAAGATGAGATGATGAGAAAGATGAGAAGGATAATAGCAATACAACTCTTCTACATGGATAAATATATTTAGGCCAAAGACAGTGCTGTAGAAATTTGGCATTCAACAGAGTGATGGTACAGGGGAAAAAAAAACTATCTTTGGGTATAGTTGTTTTGGCATGCAATGTCTTACCCACTGGTAATTCTTCTCTGAAAGCAAAGCACAACAAAGCAAATTCATCGTCTCCAAACTTATATTTGCTTAATTTCAGTTAAGCTCCCATAGAATCCTCAAGAGTATTCAGAATGATAATTTATTGGGAATTCTGTAGCATAATTCTGTGGCATGAAGGTAGAAATGGAGTTTAGATTGGTTTATGTTAGCAGCACAGCATGTACTGCTTAAATTTGCATAATGCATTAAATGTGCATTATGCAGTATTGCATAATTATGTCTACTTTCTTGACTTCTCTTGATCCTCCCTGCAGACACATCACCCCAGCCAGCACAGATAGAAAGATATGGAGATAATTATTTTTTTTACTTTCATCTCCACTCTTCCATTTCTTTTCTCTGTCCCTGTTGTTGAATGAGTCTGTATGGATGCCTGATTACCAGGGCTTGTGTGAAGCTCCATGTCAACTTGTAAAACATTCCTATGCCCATTTTCAAGTTGCCATGAGAAAGACGGGGGGGAGGGGGGGAGACCTGAAGGAGCATACGGCAAATAAAATAAGAAGCACATTTGAAGCTTATCTCTCAAAGATTGTAACTTAGGCAACTGGGTATTCTGCCTGTAAAAGTCCTTTATTGGAGAAAGTGAGTGATGACACCAGCCCATGAACGGATTTCATTGGAGAAGCTGAATTATGATACACCCAGGGGCATGAGGGAAGACAGGGTCATAGATGATTGTAAATTATGTGTCTCAGAATCAGCTTCATACAGGTCATACTGGCATGTCACTCCCAATAAAACTTTTGAAGTTTTTTGAAGTTTTTTGAAGTTTGGCTCAAGGCTTATGATTTAATTAGGGCGATCACCGGAATCCTGATACTCCGTTTAGAAAAGAATACCATTAGTAGTTTCTGTTTCCATTCCCTGCCCAGATCTCCACAATGCGAACATGAGTTCCCTGATCAAAATGCACATCCCACGAGGTCAAAGGCCACAGACAGAAGATCTGGAGAAGCAGGTCGATCAAGTGCTACAGCTGGCAAACGTGATTGATCTCATGAAAAGATGCTGGTCTAATGAGAAGGACCAGAGGCCGAGCTTCCAGGGTAAGGGAGATGCATAATGGCTTTCTTTGCACATAATCCAAGAAACATCCTTATTAAGAAGGGGCAGGATATTCAACAGCAAAGATGCATCCACCAGCTTTCTCTTCACTGGACTTTGGCTTGGGCTCACCATTAAAATAAACTGTATCTCAATAGCTATAAAGAATATCAGAATAGCAGGATAACAAAGTAGGAAGGGACCTTGGAGGTCTTCTAGTCCAACCCCCTGCACAAGAAGAAGACCCTCTTGTCCAACCTTCTTGTGCTTTAGAAAATATGTTGATCTTTTCTTCTTTGTGGCATGTGGGAAAGACCTTGGAGGACGGAGGAAAGAGATACTGCCTAGGGAATGGTCAGCATAGCCCACTGTAAACTGTGTGGAAAAAGAGACTCAGAAGGAACCCTCCCTAGTTTCTTTGGCTGTAAAAGTGATTTGTATTTTCAGACTTGTAAGATTCTGTTAATGTAGCTTTACCCTAATGTCTAATTACCTTATCTAGTTATGTTTCCTACTTGATCTAGCTGATAAGGCTCATAATAGTTGGAAGTCCACACTTTGCCATTTGTAAAAAAGGAAAGGCCATAATAGAATACGCTAAGATCCAAAGTTGACAAGGCAAAGAGCCACAGACATGGGACAGTATTTGTATTTCTCCACAATTTTTAGTAAGGAAATGTGGTGGTCCATCTACAGCAGAGACATCAAACTTCTAGTCCGTGGGTGGATGCATCACACATTAGCTACACCCACGCTCAGTTTAGTGAAGGGGAAAAAAGTCCCAATACGTTACGTGACACCATAATAGCCTGAGTTTGATATCCCTGCTCTACAAATAATACCTATTAAAACTCGCTGTCAGGGTTCCAATGGATGCCCTAATTAATTCATGAGTCTCAAGCAGTGGTGGGATTCAAATTGGTTTACCACTGCTTCAGTGGGCGTGGCTTGGTGGGCATGCTTTGCATGCATGTGTGCGCTTTGCACATATGTGTGGCAAACATGTGCTTTCCTACTGACCTTCTCCTGCACTCCTGCACTCTCCCTGTCACTTCAATAGCTGATGCATGGCAATCCGTTGTGCCACATGACACAGCTGAGCAGCAAAAGCAGGAAATAACGATCAGTCGGGAGCCGGGGCAAGGGGTTGGGCCCAGCAGCTGATCGTCAGAGTAAACCAGTTCACTCCCAGATGATCTTTGGAGCTACCGGCTTGGCCAAACTGGGCCGAACCAGTAGAATCCCATCTCTGGCCTCAAGCCAAGTTTCAAAAGAAATTATTTATTAGGAGCAACATGTCAGCACTTTTCCCAAGTGCAGTTGGCTCTGCCCCACATAATTTACTGTCTACCTATGACCCTATTTCCCCCCTCCTCCCAGGGTGTGTCATAAATCACCTTCTCCAATGGAGCACTTTTGTAGGCTGTAGAAAACACGCCCTCTCAGGCTCGCTCTTGTAATCTGGGATACAATCTGGAGAAAGATACATGTGGAATATGCTTCTGGTCATAGCAACTGAGCTTCTCCCCACTCCCCCTGCCTATGGCAACCCAAGAGCAGTCCAGGAATGCTTTACGAGTTGACACTAATGATACATTTTAAGTAGCAATAGGTTGTTGGTTTCGGTGCTTTGAGGGGAAAGGACAGGTTTGGGGCTATCAGGGATTTGGTGATAAGGGGCACCCATTTCTGCAATCCCCAACCCGGACCTTCCTGATGCAGAACTAACATAGTTGTGGAAGAGTTGAACTAGGACTAAAGAGCACAGTAAGCAAGCAAGGCCATTCCAATCAGGTATATACACCAAAGGACTTTGGGTTATCCAATCACTCTCTTTCAGCCCTCCCTGTCTTGCAGGGTCATTTTGGGGATAAAAATGAGAAAAACCTCTATTACATTCCACCTTGAACACTAGGAGGAAAGCCAAAATGCCAACAATAGATAATAATAATAATAATAATAATAATAATAATAATAATAATAATAATAATAATAATAATAATAATAATAATACAATGATTATAATAATAATGATTAACCTGTAACTTCTCAAGAAGTTAGCTATTATTTGTGGGTTTACTTTATAGACCACTGCTTGCTTAGGTTTCCTCAAACAACTGAACATTGTGGAGAAGATTCAGCTGGAAAAGAATGACTGTCCCATCTGAATGTCTGTGGCTAAGAAGGAACTTGAATTTGGACCTTTCCAGCCCTGGTTCAGGCTTCATTATATTGCATAATTCTCAATACCATGCAGCAAAAAAGTCATATTTTGCATGCCCAGATGGGCATATGCAGGAGTGGGATTTTACCAGTTTGGATTGGTTCTATAGAACCAGCTGTTATAATTCTGCACAGTTCGGAGAACTGGCAAATCGTGACCCAAGCTGGCCCTGCCTCACTGTGACCGCCCCTCCCCTCCACACCGAGTCAGTCCTTATCGTGTATGTGCAACTGTTCTGTCTCCAGTAAAGAGACCCGCAGACCGGAGTTGAATTCAGCTCTTTAATAATAACAGTAACTTCAACTGCAGTCAAAGCGCAGCAGCCTTTTTTATAGCGGCTGCTCCATGGCTCGCAACCAATGACATTTAGTTAAACTTCCCACTGCTATTGGTGGCCAATCAGGTACTAACGTTACTAACCAATCGTATTGTTGCTTCTGTTAACCAATAGGAATATCACCCTAGAAGTCTCTATTTAAATACACTACACCCCTCCCCTCTTGGTTCATTCCAACATAACGTAGTCGCGCAGGTAGGCAGGGCTCTTGTGAGTCCTTGTTGACCTGCGCAGTTCAGTCCCTGTGTTGGTCTCCACCGGTTCGGACAGGCCAGCTGTCCATTCCTCTCTTCCCTCTGGAATCTCCTGGAAGGTTGCCTCAACCATGCCGCTTCAGTCGTGTCTTGGGTTTGTTGGTCTTACTCTGCATTCTGGGCTTGCTGGATGGGCAGCGTGGTCTCCTCGCTGTGTGTGTGGGCAGGTCGAGTCGGCCTGGCTGCTTCTCCCCTGAAGGTCCTTCAACTCCTCTTGTTTCTCAAAGTTTTCTAAAGGTAAGTGATTTTTATTTTCTTTATTAAATTGTCCCCCTCCCCCTCTGGATTCTTTATTATTGTCTGGGGGTGTTTGGAAAAATGTTTGTTCTGCATTTCTGGGAACGTCGGTGTCTCGTTCAATGTGTCGGGACCGTAGCTGGTCGATGTGTCATTTCCACAATCTACCATTGGTGGTTTCTAAACAGTAGGAACAAGGGCCAGTGATTTGAGTAATCATTGCCGGTAGCCACAATGGTTCTCCAGTAAGAATTTTTGCATAGACTAAATCACCTGGTAAGAAGGAGCAGAACTTACTGGACGAGTCCGGTGGCTTTTCTGGGTTGTAGGTAGGGTGCAGTCTATCCAAGTAAGATCGCCATTTTCTTCCAATCAAAAGTTCAACTGGGCTCTTGTTCGTAGTTGTGCATGGTGTTATATGTTGGATGGTGAGCATGGTGTTGAGTTTTTCTTGCATATCACTTCCGTCGAGCCTTTCCAGTGCTTCTTTCATAAAACAAACCATGTGTTCCACGCTACCATTCGCCGCCGGATGAGCTGGTGCTGCCAAAGCATGTTGTATTCCATGTTCCGCAAGAAACTGTTCAAAAGCCAAGGCTGTAAACTGTGGCCCATTGTCCAATACTACTACATCTGGTAGACCATGGATGGTGAAAAGTTTTTTTAGTTGTTTGGTGATGGCTTCTGTGGTTGTTGAACTCATGGTGATGACTTCCAACCAGTTTGAATAGGCATCCACGATGATTAGATAAGTATAACCTTTTGTAGGGCCAGCGAAATCCATATGGATTCTTGACCAGGGGCCTCGGGGTGTCTCCCATTCGAGGACTGGTGCTGGGGGGGGGGGGCACTGGAAGATTGGCATTTGTTACATGTTTTAACCTAGGCTTCAATGTCTTTATCAATTCCTGGCCACCAAACGTAGCTTCTGGCCAGGGACTTCATTTTTACTATGCCGGGGTGTCCTTCGTGTAGCATGGTTAGCATCTTTTCTTGTAACTTTTTGGGAACCACCACCCTGTCTCCCCACAAAATGCACCTTTTTTCCAGCGATATTTCAGTTTGCCGGTTTCGGTTTTCATGTTTTCTGGCCAACCCTGTCCCACCCAGCTCATTATCCGGCTCATCAGTGCATCTTTAGCTGTTTCCCTGGCGATGTCTGATGCAGTGATTGGCCAATTTGGCATCGTTTCAATTTGTAGTGTCTGTGTGGTGGGAGCTGGATCGTCGTCGTGCCCTGGTAGTGGTGCATGGCTTAAGGCACCTGTGTGGGTTATGGCTTTTCCTGGGCGATAAATGAGTTTGTAACTATAAGCTGCTAGAAATTCTGACCATCTAGTCATTCTTGGGGACAGGATATTGGGGGTTGCCCTGTCTCTGGCTAGGATTCCAATAATGGTTTGTGGTCAGTAATCAAAGAAAATGTCCTACCATATAAGTATTCATGGAAACATTTCACTGCTGCCAAAGCGTCCCTGTCTAGTTGGCTGTAGTTTCTTTCGGTTTTGGATAATGTCTTGGAATAAAAGGCAATTGGTGCTTCCCTGCCATCTGGTAGTGTGTGGCTGAGTATTGTGCCTATTCCGAATGGCGAAGCGTCGCAAGTGACAGTTAGAGGTAGCGTGTTGTTGTATTGAATCAATACTGATTTCGATGTGATTAGATTTTTATTTTTTTGAATGCTGTTTCTTCTTGGTGGCCCCATTTCCAGTTGGCTTTTTTATCGAGGAGTCTATGCAGTGGTTCTGCTACTGTTGCCTTCTGTGGCAGAAAAACATGATAAAAATTAATGAGACCCCAAAAAGCCTGTAAATCCGTTTTGTTTTTGGGTCTGGGAGCTTCCTTAATTGCTCATTTTTTTTTCCTGTGGGGTGGATTCCTGCTTCATCAATCAGGTATCCCAGGAACTCAACCTGGTTTGTGGCAAGTTGGCATTTTTCTTTTTTGACC